TCTTTTCTTCTAACCTTGAGCCTTCAGCTCACACTTCTTCTTTTGCAGGTCCTTCTCAAGAAGTAACAGAGGAAGAAAGAGAGAAAGATGATGGAGGAGAAGAAGAAATTGATGATGACTATGATATGTCATCTGATATCAAGCTTCTCTTTCCTGCCGTTGATACCGTCTTCTCCAGGATCAACGAAGTTCACCAAGAGATTCCCCGTCAAGGCGATCTTGATGCAAACTTCCTTGCCCTCCAGGCGGATATTCAAGAAGTTCAGAGTCAACTCCAGACTCTCCAAGAAGTTGTTCAAGCCAACAACGATGCCATTGCTGTTCTTCACAGCAGGGCTGACGATGCTTAGGTTATAGCTGATAAGCAGACTTGTCTTTTTCAACAAATCTTGGATGTTGTCCGTCAACCAGCTCCAGTGATTGCACCTTCTTTCTCTGCCAATGATCGCGCTCAGCTCCATGAGACGCGTGAGGCAACGACAACTCTAGCCAATGCCTTGCAAAGGCTGGAGGATTCAATGGTTCTCCAGCGTCAGTGCTTGGACGAACTCTCTGGCCAATTCTCTCAAGCCTTAGCCAGAGAGGGGGAGATGAGGTCCAATGCTGGTGAATCATCTGATGCTACTCCTACAGCTTCTCAGGCTGTTGGCCTAGTATCAGCTTCAGTTGCAGTTGAAGCTAAGGCTCTCGAAGCTGAAGTAGTTGCTACTCCTGTAATCCCTACCACCGAAGTTGTTCAAGCTAAGGTTGTAGATGCCATCCCTAGGGACGATGCCCATACCATCGCTGCTGSTGGTGATGATGATGATGTTGATGAAGATGAAGATGATGATGAAGACGATGATGAACCTGTCATTCCAGACAACGGAGATGATCTAGATGGTGACGACGACGATGATGAGGAAGATGACTTTACCATCAAGTTCCTGAAGCCATCAACCGTCACCAAAGGTGTTACTCTCAGGGATTATGCATCCCAAGGGGAACCAAGATCCCAAGTCGAAAGGCAAGGCGGTCGCTGAAGAATATCAACTTCATATTCCATCAACAAACCTTGTTTGAAGACTCTACCTCTCAGGTAGTGATTACTTCAGAATATCAACTTCATATTCCATCAACAACCTGCAGTCGACTGGAGTGGGTATCTGATCAACCTGTCTCTTGTGCTCCAATAGACCAGCAGATGTCTCAGCAGAAGGAGTCACTCGGACCAGACTAGAGTAAAATTTCCTCTTCATACCTCTAGTGGTAGTGAGTTTGACTTCTTATCTGAAACTGAAAGACTCGAGGCATTAAGGGCTGAAGAAAAGCTAGAGCTTCAAAAGAAGCAGACTGAAGACAGCTTAAAGTTGGCCAAGTCACTAGCTGCAAAAGTCATTCCCAAGAAAAATTCAAAGAAAACGGTGAATGTTGTCCAAGCCCAAGCTAGACTTCTTTCGATTGTAGAAGCTGAACGCAAGAAGAAGCTGAAGCTGGAGGATAAAGACAAGCAATGGAGCGAAGCAAAACTGAAAAAGAGACTCAGTCCCCGCCCAATTATCAGCGTCAGCATCAGCGGACGTTCTAAAGATGGCGGAACACTGGTCTCAATGCTCATCACCAGGGGACAATCTTGATGTCATTACCAAGTACCCTTTCTACCTTGGCCGCTATGGATACAGCGAATGGATGGAGATCAAACAAGCCATTCAGCAATCCAAGTCGAGACACAAGACACTTATCGAGGACACCATCAACGAGCTCATCAAAAGGATGTCCAAGTATGTCAAGGTCCCTGACCGGCCAACCCTGAAGAAAGGTG